GTTACATGTTTCTAGGACGGTGTTATGGAGCTTTTGCATAGAAATGCCGTAGATAATCTAATAAAGTCAGTGGCATTATTTTCTTTTGAGTAGGCGTTATACATTCGACTGTTTTCAGCTTGTAAAAGCTTGTTTTTTATTTGCCTAAAGGAACTGAATTAATTGGAGTTGATCGAATGGCATGGCTTGGCCTTGCAGGCGTGGTCCTTGTTGAATGTTAGTTTATGTTTTTTATTAATATTAAACATATAGTTTCATCTCTAGCATAAACTTGTTCTACATCATGTATTGGTGATTGTTAGACACGATGAGTTGGTGTAGACGATGGTATGACTTGTACGTAAGATCTTATAGATTAGGCAGTTATATTATGACAAGTATACAATTTCAGGATTAGTTCTATCATTAGCGCAGTACTAATACCATAGTAGACCATAATTCTACAGATGATGAAGACACTTGTTCACAAAAGGCTGATAAAAGAAATATAGAAGGGTTTTGAAACGTTGCATTCGTCTTATACAAAGAATGTGATGAAACGTTACAAGTTAATCTGGAATAAGTGTCTGAAACGTTCATGTAGCTCAACGGATTCAACACAAACTGTGCTCAGGCATGCATACGTAAATTACAAAGTGGGAACGCACCTATGGAGTTCTGATCTAATTAAGAAAAGTCATGCATATTAAAAAGCGGCCAGCAACTTCTGAATGATTTTTGGTAACGAACCTCCTCCAGACAAATGACTGAGGTGGGAAGCAAAACCACCAAATCAGTTACTCACTAATTTTTCTAACCAAAGTGATGTCGTAAGTGACCAGACTCTTTAGGCACGGGAAACTCGTCAGGATCGGATGAGATAAATGTCACTGGAGGGACTCGAAGTGTTTGACTGCCTGTTAAATGTTATCGTGGGCACAATTATTTTTATCAGGTTTTGGACGTATCTGTTATACCCAAACTTTGAACTTATTTCGTTATGAACTCGACCTTGAACATTTTCGGTTATCCATTGTTTTGTTTAGCATATTTAAAATGTTATCCAGGAAACCTAAAAATTTAGGGTTTGACGTGAAATTTGTCTTAATTATTATTAGAACAATATATTTGGGTAGGACACTCGTAGTTTACAAATGAACTTCTGAAACGTGAAATGGAATTCCGTTTTCTTGTCATGTGGGTCACATGTTGTGAGTGTATCGATCGACCGTCCCTCAAAAATAGATCAGGACGGATTTTGGACGTAACAAAAAGTCTGGCAATCCTGAGACAAACTACAGTATGCATTGCTAACTTGCGTACTGTAATATTCAAGCTGCCACCCGGTGAGAGTGAGTTGCCCACTGACTAGAAAGGCACAATTACCACTCCAACCCACAAGAAGTAATCAAAACAACCGCTTTCAAATCACAGATCTATCAGCTTCATAGATATCATGGTCAAAATATTGAAAAAATAATCGTAAAGACCATTGTGACTTTGATGAAAACAGACAACTTGTTAATCAGGAAACAACATAGTTTCGGAAGAGAATCATCGTATACAACAAACCTCTAATATCAGGAGAAGGATGGACAAGATCTTCTAATAAATGAAAACTAGTGGATTTTGTTCATTTTTAATTTCTGAAAAACAGTTGATAAGATGCCGTGTAATTGACTTTTATTGATTCGTTGAAATTTCGGAAGTGCTTTGTCTTTGGTGAACTAAATCAATAACTATCTACTAAGCTGCCGATAAGGAGTAAGAATGAATTACAAACGTTCAACATTGGGACCAACATTTAATGAGGCACCGTACGGCTTCATTTAGATTCGGTGAATTTAATACCTCATGTGGATGAAATCCCGTGTATCCCTTAGACCTAATGATAATTTTTGTTGATAACGTCAAAAATTGGCTTCAAATAACGGTGAGCGCCGATGCACAGGCCTTATGATGGACATACGACAAGTTAGATACAAATATGTCGACCATAACATAAAGAACTTTAGTGAGTATTAAACTTCCAAACTGGGTTTGGGCTGTAAGCGACTGTCTAAAAAGTGACTCGAGTATTTCAAACCCTCTAGACACAGTGTTCTTTGAGAAGCCAAACTTCTTTAATCTGTCTTATCACAAATAAAAAAGTAATTTCGACGTACATTAACCGTAAAAAGACTTTCAAGCCTGATGAAATTTGTTTTCTCCTTCAAATAGACCGAGACAGTTTAGACGACGTAGCAAACGAGTTCGAAATGAAGGAATGAAAAAAGCCCCGATAACATACATATTATCTTACAAAACGGTCAACTCTCTGACGCTACTGCTAGGGAACGTGGCATCATCATTTTAATCCGACTTATTCAGAAAATGACTAGAAACTTTCATCTACTTACTAGGAAGAAATCGATAATGACCATCAATCATCTGTCACCAATACAAAAATCTGAAGTTGATTGTTAATAATCGTAACCCTTGTTTCGTCCTCTAAGAGACTTCTAACGTTTGTTTACAGTTCCTGAAAACCGAAACAAACTGTAAAATTCACTTGTTTACTGTACTATAACTTACTCTGAAGCTATCAAGTTCGCTTCACTGTTCTCTGAGCCGAGATCCCGTGTAGTATCTGTCCTTTGCAGTGTAGTTTCTGCAATGGTCTATAAACTGAGATCAATGGAATCACTAGTATAAGCTTTGGAAGGTATATTTCTTCTATCCACCATCCTCCAAATAGCAGAGGTCAGAGAACAACTAGAAAACGCAATACCAAGGCCAGGTCTGTCTCTAGCTGGAGAAACAACAGCCTGACCACCGAAGTCATCGGCAGCTATTCAGGATCTCACAATGTGTGTGACGTGACTGTGAGTGCTACTCCAATGGAAGTTGATGAATGGGTACACGTCGAAAACTAGAAGCGATCTAATTTTGTTGAAGGAAAGGCAGTCCCTCAAATTGTATCCGGGAAGTCGAAGGCTGGTCGTAGTGACATGTCAGTTGTCTTTCACAGAGTCAATGAAAGTAAACGTTCGGAACATAAAACTCGTTTTGAGCGTGACAGTGATTTGATAAAAAAGCTGCTAAATAAGCTAATGCCTCGGGATATCTTCGAAGTAATTTTACTAGATTTATGGATAAGGTAGCAGACTGAACTTGAAACAGAACCAAACCAGATTGCTAATAGTAATATTAAAATCTCCCGATGAAACAAACTTAATACTATGGAATAGACATAAACTAAAGGGGTCAGGAGTTTTTGTCCGTAAAAACTTGCCGCTCGCGGACCGCATGAACAGACGAGAAGAAGTAAAAACTAAAACTAAGGTTAGATGCTGAAGATAAGGACCTAAAATTTATACATTTTCGGGTTGTCAGGCTTCGACAGAGCGTTGTGCCAAGGTCACTCCGGACTCTGGATCTATTACACAAGTACCAGGAGCCTGCTCAACAAGTGAATGGAGCTAGAAGTACTCTATCAAGCCTGATTTAGTCGCAGTAACAGAAACTTAGTTGATGCAGTCTGTCGACAATAGGGAATTTAATTTTGAATGTTTCGCATTAGTAAGAGCCGACAGAATCCGGAAGCGTGAAAGAGCAGTAGCTCTACTCTTTACAAATACTAACCCATTTATAATTATCGATAATGTTGTCCATGAGAGTGGAACGCGTGAATTAGTTGGTTGAACGAGGCCTTGCTCGGCGGTTCCAATAACTGGTCACAAAGTGGTCGGTGTTTAATCTTAGGAGACTTTAATGCAACTACGGTAGACTGAAAACTGAGATGTCAAAAAATTCCAACAAGAACTAGTTGATGCGGTTATTACATGTGCCCTGGTGCAACATGTGAAAGAACTAACTAGGTAGGACTCTCACTTCGAATCATCCTTACTAGATCTCAAACTGACTCATTATGAGGATGGCGTCACGAACCTCCAATATATGCCACTTTAGATAAAAGTGACCATTAGGTTCTAATCTTTGATCTCCACATAGTTGTCAAAAACGAGCATGCGTCAGCCCAACCTAGACCAAATATTTAGAAAGCAAATATACGAGGTATTGTGTACTCGAGATCCTCAGTGGACCGGTCAACAGAACCAGAGTCTACCAGTGAAACGGCCTGTGGTGTTTTTAGAAACTTTTACTTAAAAGTTCCAGCGCTGATCACCCCTTGGACTACACCAAGAGGTACGAGAAACCCTCCAAGGTGGTTCAGTAAAAAGCTTTGCACCCTTTCTCGTAAGAGGAGAGGAATGTTGAGAAGATTTAGGTCACTGGATACTGACGAGACAAAATCTTAATATCGAGAAGCTCGAAATGTTTGTGCCTTGATCCTCCGTAAGCGTAGAAGGTTGTACGAAGAAAAACTTGTTATGGAAGCCACAGAATATCTTAGACGCCTATACTCACACATAAACCAAAGGACTAAGAGAAGAGGAAATGTTGCATCGTTACGAGGGGACAGTAGTATTTCGTCGTTAGTGGAGGACGACTATTTTAAAGCTCATGTATTTTCAAAATACTCTAGGGATGTATATATCGTAGAGATACCCGTCCCTTCAGTTCATACACGCTCACACACACTGGACACTACGACTATTAAAGAACTCGATTTCTTTGGTCCGATAAATGAGCTTGATATGGGCAAATCCATAGGACCCGATGAAATGGATCCCAGGTTACTAAAAGAACTAGCAAATGACGTATTGAATCCCTTGAGCATGTGTTTCAATCTATCTGTGACCCAGGGTCGACTATTAAAAGACTGGAGGAAAGCCATAGTATGGCCTGCCCTCAAGACAAGTACGAAACATAATCCCAAGAACTACCGATCGTAGGCCTGACTAGAGTAGTTGTTAAAATTTCTTCAAGGTATATGGCACAAACTCTGTGCCACTTCCTCCCACAATGTTTGCAAAATACGAATGGCTCCTTTTCTTTGATATCATTTTTGCACTTCTCCATCAAACTCTTCTGAACGTTTCTAAAATTGCACACTCAAAATTTAAAGCAAATGCGACTTACACTGGGTTACTGGAGTCACTGTCAAGGGCTATTTGATCTAAAGCTTCATTGTAACATCTCTCGCATACTGTGTATTTTTGTTCCAAAAGTCCAGGAGTTTGACCACTATCACAATATTATGACAAAAACTAAGGACTTACTCGCTCTTGTAGACGTAATAAACTGCATCGCGATATATTGTACAAAACTTGGGCGTTAAGCAGGTTAAGGTAGGTGGTTGGTAATAGTATTCCCTGCCACAGCAAAATCCAAGCGACTGCATTACAGGGTCAATTATAGTTTCAAATGTCTCAGCCAACTAAAAAAATGTGTAATGGTAAAAATATATGAAATTACCCTTGTACAGGTCTTGTAGACCTTGGATGTCTTTTTATTGTAAAGCCAGGCATTGTTAAGCATCAACCAAAAGTCATCGACTATTTCCCAAGGATCCTTATATTCTCGGTCTTCTAGTTTTCTCCGTATAGTTGACAGATCCATAGGATCAGAAACTATTTGAGGATAATCATATATTTCAAGGAACTTCCAGTCTACTGGAGTCAAAAATGGTTCTGCATCCTTTTCTTTGCTTATTTTTAGCACAACTGGTAGAAAATGCTGCAACAGTTCATCAGAGTACCATATTCTTCGTCTGATAGGTTCTCGAGAAGCCTGGATGTCCTCTTTTTTTTCATCAGAACTGGTGGGCTCAGGTGCATCCGACTCCAGATCAGTTTTTTCATCAATCTTTGTCTTTATTTCGCTTTCACTAGGTTCTATGGACGTGACAGAACGATATTTAACTTCTGGTGAATTTGAATCTTCTTTATTATCCTTGTCTTCTAAAACCCCTGCAGAGTCAGAGGAATTCGAAGAGCTTTCTGTCGTAACTTCAACTTTAATTTCCCGTTGAATTTGTTCTTCACGCTTGGATACGATTTCTAAAGCATCTGAAAACTGATCCTGATCATAAGAATTAGCTTTCAATGAGTTATTTTCTGATGAAACAGAATTTGACAGGTCTGAAGGTTGTGTCACATCAGAAATATCTCCATTTTGTAGTGGCGGACAGGATTCCCTCAGACGACGCTTTTCCTTTAATTCAGAATGTATATTGTGATAATGAAGTGCCATTGTTTTGAAATATTCTTCTGTTGACCTAGATTTTACATAAACGTCTTTTTCCATTCGTTTCACATAATCGAGAAATTGTTTCATCCTGGGATCACTGTATGCAGTAGGATTTGCCGTTGGAAAGATTGATAAAGAAATATCATTCACACTATAAAAAATAACTTTATGAAAAAGTAGAACTTACAACTTTTTCATAGCTAGTTCTCGCTGTTGATCGGTGATGCGGCTTTCATGTAAAGGTACCCGACTGAACTCACCATTCAACACAACTGTTGGTTGTGATTCACACGAACCAGTTGTAAAAGCAGTCTCTTGGTGTGGAAGCGGAGAGTCTGATATTTTGATGCCATTTAAGGATGATATGTCAGATTTGTGGTTTGAAGTGAGTCCATTTTGTGGGCAACTAACGGATGATGCTGATGACGGTGTAGAGTTCCCAATGGGTTTCCTGATTGCCGAACAAACTTTGCATTCCATATCTCCACAAGAACGATAGTGCCGCATTATGTACTTAGATGAAATACAATGTGGAACATTGCACTCCTTTTCTCGAGTGCAACTCTGTAAATGAGGCAGCAAGTTTCGAATTTCACCACAATTTCGATCCGCACAGTTTGTTGCCATCCCCCTCCTTTCAAGGCGTTCACAGTGATCAGCATGTAGAAGTAGTGCTAACTGCTGTTGCATGAGAACCATCTTGGCCTCCGTAGATAAACCTTGGGGACGGTCATTTGTATAGGTGATTTGATCTGTGGTCGAACCTTGCATATTTACACCAGCTACAGTACATTTGATGTGGAAGATATCGAAAAGTGTGAAGAGTAAAATTTACAGCAACTTAATAATCATACAAATGTATAATCGAGTCTAAGTAATAAATGACTAGCAAAAGTAATATACTAAGTGGTCACAAAGAATAAAGTAGTGATCGAACTCATTTACAAAATAATAACCAAAATAGACCGATGTGTTCACTTTTAACGGGTCGTAACTAAACCATATTAGTACCTAGAAATAGTTTTAGATACGTCTTACACCTGGCACGTGTAAAGTGGTTATGTTATCCCCAAGAAGCCCGACTAACTATTGAGTAGGGATATTGCAAAGTTCACTGTCCTGCCTTGGGGGTGTGAAATATAACCATCGAAAATGGGATACATGTTGAGTTTATGATTAACCGTTGCTGCTACCTTGACGTGATGGTTGAGCCTGTCTATCGTAATGAACCAATCGAGCTATACTAGCTGGACTAATCGTTTTTTAAGGTCCTACCATGATACACAGGTTGGTTGAAGAACGGTAAGAGTAAAAGCAGTAAACCCAAGGTTCGAGGGCGAAGTCGTACTGCTGACTGTATAGAGATGTGACGGTATTAAGGTGTTCCCTTCAGACGACCAGCATAACAGCGATGGGGTTAGAAAAGGTCGACCATAAGAATGCACACCTCATCTTATCCCACATATTTCTGGCCCCGGCAGTAAGGTCCCAACAAGTACGGAACATGAAAACTACTCACAAAAAGTTCACGTGTGACCGACCTCAAGCAGTTGTCCCTTGGGTACTACGGTCACGCTCCCAGGTCACTAAGACCACTTCTAACTCAATTTCTTTTTCAGGTACCTCTAGAAGAACCCTCACACGATGTGGGGGACCGGGAAGTGAAAACTGCCCTCATACTTCTAACAACACACAAGACTAACTAAATAACTATAATTATAGTTGATAAACTCCATAGAATCCCCAGGAATTCTTACTTTTTCATCTGATGTTCTTCCTGAAGACACGCTGGTTGGTTAGCAATACACAGTTGACATTGTCCTGTCTCGGAAAAGCTGATAAAGTGAAGTCTTCTAAGCTCCCCGGGCAAAAACGCAATAATGCTTTGGACGCATTTTCCTATCCAAATATTAGTCGAGAACTGGTTCAGTTATTGCTTACAGTGATAAAAGGGAATATAACAGCTAAGAGCACAAACCGCTTAACTTGCCGGGAAAGTCTCATCAACTATGCTGATGAAACCTTGGGTCGATCTAGAAACTTCACTTGGTCTTATTCAACTTGTATCACCCATGAGATAAACAGGAAGTTTGACTGCTAGGGATGATCTTTTATTGTTTTATTTCGTGGTCGAAAAGCATGAACATTAAAAGTAGAGGATAATCGTAGATTACCAGTATTTGGTCAAAGATTTATTTGAAGCATTACTTATATATCAGTCAGTCGTAATAAATAAAGGGCCAGACCAGTTTCTCATAAAACACGGAAGGTGAAATTAACAAGACGATAACGAAAAAATCAAAGCAGAGGTGGTATCAGTGATGGTGAGGAAGATTATACATTGAGCGGTGGGTTATTTGAACAAACAGACGGCACTCTTAACATGTCTAAATATGACGATACTTTCATTCCTTTTGCTCCTAACATTAATAATACCATACTATCTTCCGTAACATGTCTTCTGAAATGAATATCGTTTTGATAGGTAATAGCGATTTGTAAGAGTCACCAAACAGATCTGAGTCAGAAGGAACTTTGGCGTTGTCAAAAAGTCGTCCATAAACCAGTATCACCGAAACTATACATACCTCATGCAGGAAATGACTTCCACTAAGAAGGGTCGTGTGTTTCAAAAAAGTGAGTATTGCTAACACACAGTGCTCTGACATAGCATTTTGGAAAGGTAATCCATAAAAAGTAAATCTGACATATATACCACCTTTAAACTGACAACGTGTTTCAACTTAATTCCTAGGTTTCAAACTTCATTGACTTAGTGTACATTAAAAGTTACGTCATAAGAGCATCCTATATGATAATTGCTTGTTGTAATGTCTCGTGTCCTCGTAAGGGTAAGCAACAGAAGGGAAATCCCCAAGAACCATAAAAAGTAAGTCATCTGGGCTCCAGTACTAAGTCTTTTTTCTGAGTGGTTATTCTATGGATTAGCATTCAGAAATAATTGGATTCATTCATTTAGTAGGGTGATACCTGATAACTGTATGGCTTAAAATAGACCAACAGGTCATCTACCCAAACAAACATGAACTAGATGGGACACTTAATGAGCTTCCACTAATGTTTTAGCTAAAGGGACTGCTGAAGATGAGTTGGACTCTTATTTCTGCAAGCCATACAGTATTGAAAATGAAATTTGTCAAGTTGACACTTCAAGCGTAATATTCAGTGGGTGACCAGCTCAGTACCGACGCCAGTGACGTTCACTGGTCCTAAAGTAGTTGTTTCGAGCTAAATATAATTTTACGTCGTTCACTAGCCACTATTAAGAATGAAAAACAATCTAAATTATAGTTAGAAATACCAATCATGTGTCGGAATCGGTTCATACAACACCCATGCAATGGCGACCCATGCAAAATCTTTATATTAATGACTGACAAACACCTGTTACCAATGGAAAAAAGCTTGAGAAAAAGACCCTTGTAAATTATGATTACACATTCTAAAAATTTACAGACATTAAGGAGAAAAAAACGGAGACAGATTTAGTCTAATAATGTTATGTAGGAATCAGACTTACACATTTTAAAATCATGGGTTTATTCCGAAGGAAGAAAAGTAGAAAAGTCATTAAGTAGGAAATTAGTTAAAACGCAAAATATGGCGGTCATTTTTACACACCCCGCTACCATGTGGAACGTTCAAACAAAACATTTCATTGGGAAGGTGCTGCTTGTACGTCAGTCATTTTATCCTTTTGCGAAAAGTTCCACATTCTGTCCATTCGAAGCAAGAGAGCTTTTAAACTCTTAGGTGCATGTTTTATATTAGTGTGATTCTCTTTTGGACATTTACATTTTTATGTCGGAAATTTCTCGTTCGGTCGTTTACTTGCTGAAACTAGGATTCCATTCAAATATTTGATACGAGTTTTGGAGAAACGAACGTTTCTTGCTGTGTTTCATGAAGAAACGGGATATGAATGTTGATTTACTTAAATTCATTTGGATATTGAAATTGGCAGCTTTCGCACATCCCCTTCACATTCAGTCAGTCTAAGACCCGATGAAAGGTCAAGATATCAACTTTCATGGTTATTACTGACGAAAAGTACATCAGCATTGACTGAGTTATTACGCATCCATAAGCAATTTCGAATTATTTGATTCTTCGAGTCAATCAGTTGCACCAATGAAGCCATGTTACAAATTACTTGACAGTTAAGTTTGATGTGAGGTACCCTCAGACCACGTAGTGAGCACATTAGAATTTCTCAGTTATTAACCTCATCCGAACAGTGGAGCTGACATGAACTCCATAGTTGTTAGGGCTACTTTGCCTACTTGTACTTTTTTCAAGCAAATCCCTCAATTCTGTCAAGTTAGTATAAGCCCATCCATTATCAAAAGTTGGTTTTCAATACCTTACACTTACCAAGATGCAACCACCAAAATTACATATTTTTGACTCAATCTACTGACTCTTTACCCTTGTCTTGTTTAACATGCTCCAACAGCTAGTTTCTCCTTATTCTTTAACATGGTCAGGTGGTGTTTAGTTTATCACATAATGGAGTAAAGACAAGCATGATGAGAACTCGACTTAAAATGATAACTAAAAGTACTCGATCTAACGTGCAAAGGGTTCCCAAAATAGTGCAGTTTGAGACAGGAGCTTAAGAAGATCTCTACACTTTGATGTCGTGACTAAACATCCCCTTTTCGGGTCTGTTGTTACTTGTAATTCCGCCCAAACCTTCCTGCAGAAAACATGAAACATCTTTACGGTCTGACTGCACTGCATTGGCTGGTGTGTCCCTTGATCTTATCGCTTTGTTGTTTTGGATTTACCTGATGAACGTGACCGTTGGTGTAATAATAATTGAAGTATGCTCTGTGTGCACTACTTTGGCGTCCAGTGGGTTTAGAGGGACTGGCCCATTAGAGAGCTCTTCAAAGTTTTCACTACACCTCCTATGTTTTTGAATCGCAGTGACCAGTTTCTTATATTTCTAATTAGTCGTTCTAGTTTATTGTGTTTCTCTGCTCGCCTGTACATCCTATCATTTCGATTTCCCCCATTTCATCATAGCAGTTTATCTCGCTGGTGCTTCTAGGCATCTGGCATATTTATGCCTATGAACATTATCGGGAATTTTCGCTCACTTGTTGGTCTCGTTATATCCAGTCTGTTCCTTAGTTCAGTCTGCTCTTGCTTGGTTACTGTTGGTTTTATTTTGGTTATCACTTCCTTAATTCTTTCCCAAGGTATCTGCAAAGATCTATATTCTATTCTGGCGCGAGTGTTGTGATATTTGGCTTGGGTGGATTTGTTGTGAATCTTTGATTTTCAAGTGATACCAACACGTACTTCAAAAGAGACTGAGCTATTAGAATTGCTTCACAATCGAACAATACCTTTATTTACTGACATGAATTTTAGTTGGTTGCTATCTATAACTGTGTGACTGTTTCTTAAATGGTTTTTGATCGGTTTCTCTCTTTTGGCGTGAACTCTGACCAACCCAGAGATCACAACTTCAAGATCCAGTCTCTGGACTAAAAATATTCTTCTTAATTTTATTCTGGTGCTTGATGACGCCAGTATTTTCTGTCATGTAGAAGAAATGATCCCTTAATCCCTTTTTAGTTGTTCTTCATGACTTATGGGTAAGTAGAACTTGAAAAGCCTGGAGCATCTTGCTGAGAGCAGTCTTGTGAATATAGGCATGACAAACTTATTTTGTGACTAGTTTTCTATATTGTTTGCATTTATTTCGTTAATTTTCACAGTCTATACATTTACCACAA